TTAAAATTGAACGTATTTAAATTTATGGATATAATTTTATATTTTTAATTATCTTAAAAGCAATTTTAATTGGAATTATTTAATAAATACCTATTTGATTCAAAATTTATTTTTTATTCAATTATATAGTTAATTTCTAGTGACTAGTTTTGTAAGAGACTGTTTTATATTTATTATTTTAGTAATGAAAATCATTGAATACTAGTATTTATTGAATTTTAAAAAATGCCCTTCTTTAATTTTTGGGGATATTTTTTTTAAAACTAAAAACTCTGTCACACATTCAATTTGTGACCTTTTTGTTTCGTCATTGATAATAATAGTTGTAACAAGTTTTTTTGTCACAAATAATCCTAATTGTGACTAATATGGTATTATTTGTTTCATTTTTTTCAATCACAGATAATTCTAGTTGTAATTAAAAAGAAACATAACAAATGATTTAGTATTAGTTACCAAATTTTATGTCACAAATAATTTCTTCTGTGATGAGTTACACAGGTTACAAATGAGGTTCTTGTTTATGTCTAATTATTTTGTCACAAATAATCATCATTGTGACGCAAAAAATCGTTACAAATGTACTAGTAATTGTGTCTATTTTTACCATCACTAAGATCATGATTTGTTGTTGTAAATACAAAATTAGTTACTATTAATATTAGTGACTCAATATTTGTAACGGACAGTAACCAACTAAATTTTAAATACAAATATAATTTGTGACAAAAAATTTTAATTTTTATGATTAATTTTACCATCACAAAAAGCCTGTTTCCTTGTAGTGACTTCATTATTGTTAGTAAATTTATAATGCCGTGGTTTCTCGTTTTTAAACTTCAAATTGTATTAGAGTTCTTCAATTAGTTCGCTGGTTTCTCTTCTTTGTATTCGTTGTCTTTCGCAGTACTTTTGTCAACGTGTTTTTTTAGTCTTTTTGAGGTTTTATTATTATTATTATTATTATATTTTAAGTTTGGTAAATTTTAAGGATTGTTTTTACTTTTTACATAAAATGACAAATTCTTTTTTTGATAAAAAAATGGAGAAATATAATAAAAAAATACAGTAAAAAAACTCCATCAGATTTAAATTATGTCATGATGAATATAGACAATTAAGTAAAGAAAACCATCTGCACTAGAGATTGCAATTGCAATCGCTGTATTGGCTAAATAGGGCTACTAAACTAGAAAGGAGAGTCGCTATGAGCATCGGAAGCTACTGGACAAGTCCTCACCTATTTAACCAGCTTCATGGGGAGAGCAAGGGATTTCGGCAATAAACAGTCCCCAACCCACAAGTTGCCGCCCTAATTTCCGCCGACTACTTTCAATCATGTGCCCATCATTAGTACAATATATAATTTGCCGCACAATTACCGTCTTTGCCTTGCATTTAACATGATCTTGACCCAAATGTTGTAATTAACTAGCATATTTCCTTCAAAATAATAGTTTTTTATTTAAATT